CAATCCTATGTCAGCCAACACTGCTTGTCGAGGAAGGCGATGACTAAGAATGCGTAACACATGTCCTAACTCTCTCAACCGATGTAACTTCACAACCTCGTCTATTGATTTTCCCTCCTTACCTAGAACTCGACCGATGCGTGGGGTTGCTAGCCCCACACCACTAAACTTATCAAACCGTTAGAGAAACCTCAACACACAGAAAATATATTAAAAACACAAAAACTTCAAATAACAACACTCTTATTCTTCGCTCGAATTGGAGAGGCGAAATGACACAGCGGGCTGGTGAAACCCTTCGGGAAGCCAGTCAGCCAGCCGATATGTCTTCTCTCGATGAAAGCAAGAGCAATAATGGGTACGTGGAATGTCCGTAAAATGTAAAAGACCAAGAAGGCTGCCGCCCAGGTAGCTAAAGAAATGCGAAGACACGGCACAGAAGTGCTGGGAATCCGAGAGAGCAAGTAGTGGAATGGATGTGGACTATCTAAATTATCAACTGGTGAGTCAGCAATCTACTCCGGCCACCTAGATGACAACGACGAACACACTGAGGGAGTGGCTATAGTGATGTCACTAATGGCAACCAGAGCCCTAATGCAGTGGGGACCAATTTCATCCTACAGGATCATGACAGCAAGATTCAACTCAAAAATGAAGACAGGAAGATCACAATTATCCAATGCTAAGCACAGCGCCATAAACACCGAGGAACAAAAGAAGAATGAAGATTTTTACAGACATCCCGAGTTTTGACACCAAAATGTTCATGGGCAATATGGATACCAAACTGAGAGCAGATAATACAGGAAGAGAACTCATCATGGGTCGAGAGGCTCTGGCTTAGAGAAATGCATGAGAACGGAAAATTATTCGCAGACTTATGCGCTTTCAATAATCTGGTGATCGGAGGCAGCGTGTACAAAAACACATCGAGCGCCAGGCCATCACTCGAGTGGAATCCAAATGGGAAGCGGCGACGAGTAGGTCGTCCAAGGATGGCATAAAGGAGATCGTGTGGGGAAGAAATGAGAGAGTTTGGGCAATTGGGGACCCAGTTGAAGAAGATGGCAGAAAATAGAACAAAGTGTAGATGTGTTGTTGAAGCCACATGTTCCACACGGAACCCAAGGGAACAATAAGTAAGTAAATAATAATTGGTTTAATATTGTTGATGATATGGTTAAAAAGCGCTACCTCAATAGGTGCAGATGTATTCACTTCTAGGTAATCGCCTACCGTTCTTGCGAATCGTCCGTTTCTCTACCATAAAACTGACAAATATCTGTAGCAAGTCTCCTATGTTGAAATTCAGTCAGTCAGTCAGTCAGTTACCAGTAATATATATGTATATGTATAAAACATTGTCTAAATATCTATTTTTACCTATCACATAAAAACAGCAAATAAAGCATTTTGATATATGATAGAAGTCTGAAATAACTAAAAAAAATATACATATATAAGTAATATCCTCGAATTAATTAAAAACAAATTTTGACATATATAAATAGTTGAACATATCTAGATGAGGAAATATATCAACCTAACTAACCAACGACCACCACCAACACTAGCACCACCCAGTATTGGGAAAGAGAAACAACACAGCAAATACAGACGTATGCAGCAGAGATCAAAACAGATAATTTTACCTACGAATTTGTTTTGGAATGGTATATAACACTTGACATGATATATGTATATCTATATGAATGCTTAATGTTAAATCAGCATAAACCCATATATTCTTCCATATGTGAGTGTTTGTGTGTGTGTGTATGTGCTCGCGTGCGTAAGTCTGTATTTGCAAACGTTTTATACGGATGACGCAATTAACTTTGTCAGAAAAACACTGAACTATGCATAGTTAAATGCTGATAGTTATTTATTAGGGGGGGGGGGCGGAGAATATAATAACTGATCAAAATAACTTCCAAGTTGATCGCTTTTATTATTGTTATTATTCCTATTGGGTTCCTAGTGGGATATAGATGGACTTCACAATAGCACATCTCCATTTCAACCTATTCTCTGCACGATCCCCCAACTTACACAATCTCCTCCATATCACCACCCTTGAACACACGCCAAACTCCTCCTTTCTCATTTGGATTCCACTAGAGGATCTGAGCTTAGTACCTTCTCTGGCTGAATGGCCATCCGGCCGACCAGAAAGAATTAGTAACAAGAAACACTGGCTGGTAACAAACTAACCAAGAGCCGATTGCTCAACAAATATGTCGAAGTAAATGGAGATGAGTCGGACACACACACTGAGAAAACCATCGAATGATATCGCGCCAAGGTCATCTTTCGAGTGGAACTCGAATAGGAAACGGCTGGTGAGAAGTCTGAAGGTGACATGGAGGAGATCGTGTGGGGAGGAGGAGATGAGAGACTCTGGGCAATCGTAGGACCAGCTAAGGAGGACGGTAAAGAATAGGACAAAGTGGAGATGTGCTGTTGAAGTCGTATGTTCCACTCGGAACCCAAAAGAACAATAATAATATAATAATAGTAGTAATGTGTATTGATCGTAGATTCGTCTGAACACCAAAACTTCTAGGAATTCTTTGACATTTTTTTCGCTGTTTCAAATGCACCACTGAGAAAACGTAGATTAGTTTTGTGAGGATTTTGTTTGATTAGATGGAGGATTTCATCATGAGCTGAAATCAGTTAAAGAACCACTGGAAAGCCTGGAAGTACTGGACAGCTGTTTCGTCCTAGTTTGCGACCCTTCTGCAGTGCGCAACCACCGGGGTTCGAACCCAGGACCTTCTGTTTACAAGGCGAGCGAGCTCGTAGAACATTAACCCACTGAGACCCAACCCAATGACCAGTCCATGAATTCTAACTTCCGCCAATTCACGACATAGCGCGACCATTTCGCAATGTCTTCTTCGATGAGTTACTGCCTCATCTTCAACCTGCTGTACCCTACTGGTCACGGCTTCCCACTAGAACCCCAGGTAACTACCCGAATAGGGCCAGTCGCTAGTGAGCATCAGATTAATTTTCAAGTATTGGTTTTGTAGGGATTTTGTTTGATTGGTTGGAGGATTTCATCATGAGCTGACTGATGAAGAGTCCCAAACTAGGACGAAGCAGCTGTCCAGTAATCCCAGGTTTTCCAGTGGTTCTCTAACCGATGTCAGCTCATGATGAAATCCTCCAACCAATCAAACAAAATCCCTACAAAACCAATACTTGAAAATTAATCTGATGCTCACTAGCGACTGGCCCTATTCAGGCAGTGACCTGGGGTTTTAGTGGGAAGCCGTGACCGATAGGGTACAGCAGGTTGAAGATGAGGCAGTAACTCATCGAAGAAGACATTGAGAAAACGTAGATAATTTTAATTTCAGCCAGCTCAGAAAACACAATCACATCAAACTCAACCATCTGAGCTACAAATTATCTCTATTGTATCAAAAATAAATTTGTTTCCCTTTTATGCAATGTTTCCGGACACTTTTTTATTGTAAGCCATCGAATTGTTAACTTTAGAATAGATTTCATTGCATAGACCTGACAATCAAGTTACAAGTCAAATATTATCTTATCTTATTTCCGGGCACTTTTCCTCCATTTTTTGAATGAATGAATAAATGATGAAATTTTATTTTCAATTCAATTTTGATATAACTACAGGGCTAATTTAACTTTGAGAGTGATGCTAAATCTTGTTAGTGGTCAGCACGGAGACCTACGGCAGCAGCAGCAGCACTTAGCATAGCATAACCAATAAGATCTGAATTTTCAAGAATAATGACAAGTTAGTCACTACTTCTCTGTGTGGTCCCCATCAGAGACTTGGAATTTACGACAGGCTACTGTTATCAATACCTTCGACATTCACAGTTCCAATACTGTAGAGGAAATAAATGACAAAAACTCCGACACTGAAGCCGACCAGTCAATACAGTCAACGCCAACAGAAATGAAAATGGTTTGGACACACGCTGAGAAGACGACTCAGTGACCTTACACGCGCAAGACCCTCGAGTGGGAGACGACGAATTAGGCGTGTGTGTGTGTGTGTCCAAGGGTGAAATGGTGAAAATTATATGCGGATGAGATAAAAGCTTTTGCGGGTAATCGTGGAGCCAGATAAAATAAAGAACGGAGAGAACAGAGTGAAACGACGATGCACTGTCGAAACCCTATGTTCTCCTAGGAACCCATGGGAATAATAATAATAGTACATCAAGTATTGGTTTGTAGGGATTTGGTTGATTGGTTACAGGATTTCATCATGAGCTGACATTGGTTAGAGAATCATTCGAAGACCTGGGAGTACTGGACAGCTGTGCCGTCCTAGTTGGGGATTCTTCATCAGTACGCACCCACCGGGACAAATACTCGCCGAAGACATTGGCTAGCGGTTGCGCTATATCGTGAATTGGCAGAGGTTAGAATTCATGGGCCGTTGGATCAAGTTTCAGTGGCTTAATGGTATACGAGTTCACCTTGTAACCAGAAGGTCCTGGTTTCGAACCCCGGTGAGTGCGTACTGCTGAAGAGTCCCAAACTAGGACGACTTTTGATTTCAGCCAGGTAGGGAGATGTAGATTGCCAGACTTAAGGTCATGAAAATGCTAAGAGTCAATAATTCGATAGATACCATTGTATTAACATGGCTCAAAATCGTTCTCAGTACAGCGAATCCATTCACTCTTTGCAGTCTCTCTCATATCCAACAAATCCACAATCATTCGCCATAAAAAAACAAATTTGACAAGTGGGTAAGGAAATTTCCACAAACAACCAATCAACGCTTATGGACATTAGCAAAAGACGTAATGTCACACTCGTGGAGAATTCTAAAATCTCACTTCTTACTGAAGTCAGCGCGCTGACGATGATGTCTAGAAAGACAACAAACATCCGTAATTAAACCACATTCAGATCAATGAATCCTACTAGAATACTAACAGAAAAATTATTTACGACTACATCCATTACAAATCAAAATAACTTTTAACACAACTTACCAGGAGAAATTGGTTTTCGTGCAAACAGTGCCAACCGGGGAATCCCGTCTACAGGGATGACTTTTACAACACAATTTGGTTTTAACCGACTATGATTTATTAGGCGACCAAGTCGTGGTGTTTCTTTAGTAGCGTCAACACAATAACGTTGACCACTAAAAGTAGAAAGAGAAAGAGAGAGTAAAACAGATGCATGAATTAGATAACTGGAATGAAATTCATAAAACAAACTAGGCGTAACAAATTAAGGAAGAAGATGTGAATCAACGCTGCATACATAATGAACCAGAACACCTAGACAGTCTGGAACCTTAGAGCACTAGACCACTCTGCTTAATTTATTATTCTTGCAGTCTTAAGGGTGAAATTGTCAGGGAAACAATGACATAATTCAAACGTCAACGAAGTTAAACTATAGCAGGTGCCTCGGCATATATATATATGACTTTAGAACCAATCAGAATTATAGGCGGCATAATCAAATCAAATGATCCCTTCTATTCTGGACTTGTTCAACGATTTCCAGGAAGATTGGCTCTTTGTTGTTTTTTATTATTGTGTAAGAGAATAACGGATTAATTGAAGTTACAGAAATAACATGCATATGCGGGGGAAGTTTGACAAGGTAACTGCTTTTTTTAGGGTACATTGAAGCAAACAATCAGATATATATATATATATATATATATATATATAGGATGATCTGAAAACACTATGATCTATAGTCATGTCCATTTTGATCACAGTTCATGCAGTTCACTCTGCAGATGGTATTGATCTTGCCTTCTTTTGTTGTTGTTGTTGGGTCTTTTAGGCAACATTATATTGAATGAAGTGATTATGTTGGTTTCTGTGTGTGTGTGTAATATCTATTCCGAATGACTTAGTATTCTAGCCATTATTTCAGGAAAATTTAGTATATATGGAGGGATGAATTTACTTGTGGTTTCTGAGTATAATATTTCGATGGTTACACTGATTCGAATCAAATTGTAATAAGCACTACTACATTTAACTAAAGTGAACATCCTCGTCGACTACGAATCTAAGAACATAAATTAGCTGTCAAAACATTAATATATGTGTGTGGAAAACTTGGGCACTGTGGTAGCATGTAATTCCATATTATTTTTGGTTTATTAGATATATTACACACAGTGAAACAGTATTATTATTTACTGGATGAAGAAGTTTCGAACACAATTCCCCTATTTGTAAAAAATTATATTTGTAAAATCTCAGCGAAATTGAAATGAACAATTCCAACGTTTCGTTCGGCAATCTGGTCCGAACTTCTTCAGGGAAATTAATCGAAATTAACATAACAGAGGTTTATATATAATAGGAACATCTCTTGTTTTTAAAAACTTTGTCCAGTAATATGAGTCATGAAACAGGCATCAACATGTATAATAAACAAAGTTGCATGAACTGTGATCAAGTTTTGACCTCAGACTTTCAAAATTAGCCTACTTTTGTTAAACACTTTAAAGAGAGTGTGTATGTGTGTGTGGGTAAACAGTTGTAAAACATTTGTTAACGTCTCCATAAGAAAATATATAGACAATCGGGAATTTTGACCAAGTATTATTAATTAGTGATACATATCCATTTTTATTTATTAGCCAGGATTTGCCATGCATCAGTTAACATCACACCTTCACGTCTGTTCAAACTGTTGGGATTCACCCATATATGTAGGGCTTCCGCACGCTATCTAAATTGTTTAACAAAAGTAGACTAATTTTGAAAGTCTGAGGTCAAATCTTGATCACAGTTCATGCAACTTTGTTTATTATACATGTTGATGCCTGTTTCATGACTCATATGATTGGACAAAGTTTTTAAAAACAAGAGATGTCCTTTCTATATATATAAACCTCTGTTATGTTAATTTCGATTAATTTCCCTGAAGAAGTTCGGACCAGATTGCCGAACGAAACGTTGGAATTGCTCATTTCAATTTCGCTGAGATTTTACAAATATAATTTTTTACAAATGTCTACTCCTCACTCGGCGCCCAATTATTTTGTGACTATTCGGTCAAATCTTGATCACAGTTCATATCAATTCCCCATTGTTCATAATCATAGTATGAATTGTAACTACGCAACTTCGAAACTTTCATTTCATTAGTTTTCTTTATTCTTTCCTATTGGTCGTAAAGGTAGTAGAATTTTCAAGATGTCTGCCTGTCTGTTTTCAACATAGAACTTTGCACCGATGTGCAGTAGTTCGAGTCGCCACACTTCACTTAGCACACAAAGCAAGAGAAGAAAGTAGAAGGAATACAAAATAGAGACAGTAGACAGGGATATGAGACAAAAGGAATAGTAATAACGAAGAACAATATAGTTTTATTGGATATCATAAGTCACAAGGAGTGAATGCATCTGCGCCAGCCATGGAGAACGATTTTGAGCCATATCACCAATTGTCTCTAACCATCATTGGTTTTTACCGTCCCAAGGACCCCACAGTCAGGAAGTCCACACCTTCCTACGCGGATGGCTTAAACTAACTGTTGTAGATTTCATTGACTGATGAAGCCATGTTTTGGTTTGACCGCCGCTAGCTCTTTTCCAGCCTGACCCTATGTCAGCTAACATTGCCCGTCGAGGAAGGCGATGACTAAGCATACGTAACACATGTCCTAACCAGCCTCGTCGATTGATTTCCCCTCCCTACCTAGCACTCGACGCCTAACCTCAGTATTGCTCTCTTCAGTTGATTCGTTATCAGTCTCTCCCTCCACCCTGTTAATATTACATTTTAGACCTGTCGTCTTATCCCATCCTATTTCATGGCAGTGTTGTGTGTAATTGCATGTAATGCTACAACCGAACTTTTCCCCAGATTTCTTATCTCATTAGTGTCAACTAATCTAGATTTTGCTAGATTTTTGTGCTTTGCTAGTCTGACTGACCTCGTTCCACTACTTTAATCTATGTACTTGAACTGACAATCATTGCAGGCAGGGTATTAAATAAACTCAGTAATTTTGTTTAATTCGCTCCACAGGATCCTTTATCCGATATAATTTGTCGGTGATTGAATGTCACTTTCATTCTCTTGATTTCTGAAAAATTCTACATCAGGTTTCAGTGGTTCTCTCTGTGTATAGAAGTATTACTGGTCGCTTAAGGTTCCTTATTGTAGGTTTTGTAGTCATTCTGCGCATGTTTAACAAGCATGTCGTATTATTATTATTACCATTTTTATTAATTTTATTTTTACATTTTCCTACCTACTTCTTGATTACGTTTCAAAGCTTCTCTTGCATGCCTCACTTCTTGTCTTAGATTTTCCTTGATATTACTTAGATTTTGTGCCCCATTAACTCAAACACTTCACTAATCCTATTTCTTACTAACATAGAGTGGGATGATGCGAAATGGAAATATCGGTTTGAATGAGTGGGTTTTCTATAAAAACACTAGTGTTCAGCCTCCCATCTTCTTTCCTTTCTATGCTACAATCTAACATTGGAACTTTCGATTCCTGACTTTCTAATTCATAAGTGAATTCAATTGCCTCTACCTTTGGATTGATGTGTTCGAAAAATCTATTTTATGTCCTGTGTTTTAAATATAGTGAATGTGTCATCTACATTACCTCTCCATCATACTTTCGGCGTGGGGCTGAACGCTTCAGTTGCTAAAAATTTTTCCACCTATCCATAAATATAAAAATTGTGTTTGAAACGTTATCCAGTAAATATAATACTGTTTAATTACGTGATGTCTCTAATAAACAAGTTAACATGGAACTGTAATCACATTCCTATCAATCAATGCATTTAAGCAATTTTAAGGACCATTGAAAACCAGGGAGTACTGGACAGCCAGCTGTTTCATCCTAGTTTGGGAATCATCGGCAGTACGCACCCACCAGGATTCGAACCCAGGACCTTCCGGTTACAAGGCAAACTCGTATACTATTCAGCCACTGGGACCTGATTCAATGGCCAATGCATGAATTCTAACTTCTACCAATTCGTGATTTAGCGCGACCCCAACCAATGTCGTTGGTGGGACATCCATCCTCACACGTGACATCTGGTTGAACCTCACTGGTCACGACTTCTCACTGGAACTCCAGGAAACTCCATCCTGTAGCAAGTCACTAGCGAGCTGTCCAGTACTCCCTGGTTTTCAATGGTTCTCTAACTGATATCAATCCGTGATCAACTCGTAAAAACATAACTAACCCTTACAAACCAAACTATAGAAAATTTTAAGAACCAATTTGAGTGGGAAAACGTAGAAATTTGCAACACTGGTAACAACAAAAGTTGTCAGAGAATTTCTAGAAACTTGGTACTCAGACAAATCAGAGATCAACAGACAAATCATCATTATTATAGATCACAATTATCAATCAATATAAAGATTCAAATTCAAAGTGTCAGTTAAAACAACTGATAGTGATGCAAATTAACAACAACCAATCACGACAAACATTGTCAGAAGATAATGACTATATCATCATCCATGAAGAATTCAAATAAATTCACATTTCACATTGTAGTCAACACTCTGAAAATGTTGTCTCCAGGGTCAATGAACCGCTGAGTTCAGAGAAGGGAACCATATCAAATGATGAGAGTAACACGGCGTTAATTACCAACATAAACTATTTTTGATACCTAATACAACGTTAAGCATCTATCTATCTATCTACCAAATTGAAAACATTTATTTCCCGATACGAATTTAAAACAAGCAATAAAGTTTAGTAAAGCAGGATTTAATGAATTCATCAAATTTCGGTAGAACTCGTCAGCTGAATACTCTACATACACGGATATATATATATATACTTTTGAAATTACATTGGGAGATATAAGACTGATAAGTAAACAATCTACATTGAATTAGTCATGCAGAAAGACAAGTGAGAATGTTTTTCAGGTAATGTTCAAATAGATAAGGGGAGAGAGAGTATGAGAGATCAAAATTAAGATAAATTGCATTACGCTTCAATTACATCACTTAGATAAACAATTAGTCATTAGAGAATATAACAAGAATTGCAAACAGAGTAATATCAATAGTAATAGTTATAATAACAATAATAATAATAGTGTTGAAGTGAGTTAAGATAATCCTACTGATAAAGGATAGTTTTAAATGAATCAAGAAAAATAATAATAATGATAATAATAAAAATAAGAGGTAGAATTATAAGTAAAACGTATTACCATGGTAGATTCAGAGTCACGACCATCTCCTTTTGTACACAGAGACCTGGTTTATAAACTCGAATTGCACAAGCCTCTGCAATTGCAAGCATTTTCTTGTTTCTTTGTCTGCTGACAATAGTGAATGACTTGACAGCGTCGATATCATGTCCGTAGTCCACAAGATGTTTTGTTATTAAGGATTTTGGCACTTTGTACTCAGCTGTTTTCAACCATTTTATAAACCAGGTCTCTGTGTACAAAAGGAGATAGTCGTCACTCTGAATCTACCATGGTAATACGCTTTACTTATAATTCTACCTCTTATTTTTATTATTATCATTATTATTATTTTTCTTGATTCATTTAAAACTATCCTTTATCAGTAGCATTATCTTAACTCACTTCAACACTATTATTATTATTGTTATTATAACTATTACTATTGATATTACTCTGTTTGCAATTCTTGTTATATTCTCTAATGACTAATTGTTTATCTAAGTGATGTAATTGAAGCGTAATGCAATTTATCTTAATTTTGATCTCTCATACTCTCTCTCCCCTTATCTATTTGAACATTACCTGAAAAACATTCGCACCTACTTGACTGTCTTAAACTGACTGTTATTGATTTCATTGACTGATGAAGTCATGTTTTGGTTTGATCGCCAGCCCACTTCTATGTCAGTTAACATTGCTCGTCGAGGAAAGCAATGGTTAGGCATGCGTAACACGTGTCCTAACCATCTCAATAGATGTAACTTCACATCCCTGTCGACTGATTTTCCCTTCTTACCTAGCACTTGACCGAAGCCTAACCTCAATATTGCTCACCTTATTGCACCACTTAGCATGGGAGATAGAACGCAGACACCTATGATCAAAGACAGCTAGCTAGCCTTTTGATGTCTTCCACTTTCAATGGCCATGTCTCATCCACAGGGATAAAGGAGGACGGATCGAACTGCTGAGCAGTATACACGTCTTTTGATCAATAGCCGGATATCACATCTATGTCAGAGATGGCGCAAGTCGGCAAATGCCACATGAGTCTTCTGTTTCTGTGCTGAGGTCTCGTCAGCGATCAACGCATTGGAGCTGATGCAACTCCCCATATAAGTGAATTGGTCAACACATTCTACCACTTCACTCCTTATCTTTAAGCTAGGAGTGAGTCAATGTAGTCCAGTCCTGTAGTCCATCAGAAGGTGATGTCTGAGAACTGACTATCATAAAGATGTGCAACTCAAAGAACGAATAATGGTAATAATAAGAATATAGTTAAAATATACAAACAAATTTATTTGATCAAAATCACACAGTAACACAGTGTTACCTATTTCCTGATGACGTTTCGAGCATAATTTATTGCTGCTCCATAAAATCATATCAAGGTAATCATATAATTTTACCAACCTCTTTTATATAATTTTACTATTTCTTATCCCTTGATTTGATTGGTAGTAATATTTTTCATATCTCTGGTATTGATGATCTTTCATTCCTATTACATGCGTTAGGTGTAGAAACGATGAACAAGGATTCAGTTATCAACCTCTGCTTCTATCTATCTATATTACCTTTTAGAACTGTAGGTAGATCTGTTTCATCCTACTGCATGTTAATGCAAGTATCGCAATTGTTGATTTTTTTTTCTCTGTTGAGGTTAGAGAACTCTACAGACTCTAACTAAATAACCTAATCTACAAAATACTTTACAATGACTGTGATGTTACTTACATAGATTAGACAAGTGGATTTTTTTTATTATTTTTTATTTTTTATTTTGATTACAGCTTGATTCCACACCTTATTTTCAGTACAAGTATGGAATTTTCAGCATGGATATCGGTAGCCCAAATTTCAGGCCGACCATAGATATCGGGTGTGCGCCGGCAGGGGATCGAACCCTGGACCATGTGCATGGTCGGCGACAGTCCTGTGCCACCGACGCACAGGAGTAGTGAGATCATCAGGACACAGGGATTTATCTGCGTGTAGAATAATTGACTTACGAGAGAAAACTCAGCAGTAGCAATGCATGTATTGGCACACAATCACACAATAGGCAGCGACAGAGATACAGTTCCAAATAGTAATATAGGTAGGTGGAGGGAGAGAGAGAGCGGGGTTGATCAGTGAATCCTTCTTCATCGAATCAACATCCAAAAACACTTATAATAGGAATGATGCAACGCCAACCAAATGATAAGGGATAATGAAGTTAGTAAGTGATGTGAGTGCCTTAATATAATTATGAAGAGTAATAAATTATGCTCAAAACATCACCAGTCAATAAGCAATACTGTATCACTGTGTGTTTCTAATCAAACAACTTTTTTCGATGACAGAATAACTTAGTTCACATATGGTCATCATTCCCGATGGCTAACAATAAAAAGTACTCACATATATGGATCAAGAAGATCTGAACTACAAACTCGAAGACGTACAGGTGAAAACCAACAAACTAGCTGAAGAAGCAGGACTCCAGGTGAACATAGAGGAGACGGAGTTGATGAAGATAATCAATCAACAGCAACAACAACAACAGTAACCAGCACCAATCACCATCAACGGGAGAGATTTAACAGAGGTTACCTCCTTCACTTATCTAGGCAGCAAGCATCGTTTCAACTACAGGTGGAACGGATAAAGACGTCAAAGCCAGCCAGAATTGGAAAAGCAAGGCAAAGCCCTTTATCAATCTGGAATCAGTCTGGAAATGTTCTGCACTGAGCCAGCATAAGGAACAAGATTCACATTTCCAACAAAAATGTTGAGTCAGTCAGTTCTTCTCTATATGGGCCAGAAACTTGGCGCACGCGTCACGAAAAGCATTTCCGACAGTCCACAGAGGATTTTTGTCAGCCTCTGCCTTCGCAGGCTCCGTACTACAGAAAGAATTAGCAACAAGAAACTCTGGGAACGAACCAACCAATTACACCGAAGAAAATCTAGATGGATCGAACACACACACAATGAGGAGACAGTCGAGTAAAATCGCATGCCAGGCCATCACTCGAGTGGAACCCGAATTGGAAACGATGAGTTAGGCGTGGGTTCGAGGGCGACATGGAAGAGATTGTGTGTAGAGAAGATGAGACACCATGGACAAACGTGGGGTCCATTTAAGAGGACGGCAGAGAATAGGGCAAAATTGAGATGTGCTGTTGAAGCCCTCTGTTCCACTTGGAACCGAAAGGAACAATAATAATAAGAATACACATATATGCGTCAATAAAACTACTCACATAACAAATAAAACATTGGTAAAACAAACCTAAACTTACGCATGTACAAAAAAGAACATATACGATCCGATATTTGGATCACGTTTATATTCAGCTTCACGTTGTTTTGCCAACTTCTCAGGAATTAAGTCGCCAGCATATTCAACAACAAATTCACCTTCACTAAATGGTCTTGTAGCAATTATTCCCCGACCTTTATCTTCTGTATGAATGATCTAGTCAATTTATGTATGGTGTACACAGAAGGAATTCAAGTTATACAAAAGTAATCAATAGTAATGTAAAGAAAAAGAAAGCAAAATCTTTGACTAGACTAGCTGTGGCAGCGCATTTCGACCTATATTTGAGACTCGTCATGTGGGTGTACCATTATCATCGTACAACTTGAGTGATAGTATTCTTCGTCTTAACCGTCAGAGCATTAACTTTGTTTTTACGAGTTGATCACGGATTGATATCAGTTAGAGAACCATTGAAAACCAGGGAGTACTGGACAGCCAGCTGTTTCATCCTAGTTTTGGAATCATCGGCAGTACGCCCCCACCACCAGATTCGAACCCAGGACCTTCCGGTTACAAGGCAAGCTCATATACCATTGAGCCACTGGGAGCCGATTAAATGGCTCATGAATTCTAACTTCTACCGATTCGTGATTTAAGCGCGAACCCTTACAAACTAAACTATAGAAAATTAATCTGATGCTCGCTGGTGACTTGCTATAGGGTGGAGTTTCCTGGAGTTCTAGTGAGAAGTCGTGACCAGTGAGGTTCAACCAGATGTCACGTGTGAGGATGGATGTCCCACCAACGACATTGGTTGGGGTCACGCTAAAATCACGAATTGGTAGAAGTTAGAATTCATGCATTGGCCACTGAATCGGGTCCCAGTGGCTGAATGGTATATGAGCTTGCCTTGTAACCGGAAGGTCCTGGGTTCGAATCTGTTGGTGGGGGCGTTCTGCCGATGATTCCAAAACTAGGATGAAACAGCTGGCTTTCCAGTACTCCCTGGTTTTCAATGGTTCTCTAACTGATATCAATCCGTGATCAACTCGTAAAAACATAACTAACCCTTACAAACCAAACTATAGAACATTAACTTTGTGGTGAGAGTTGGCTGCAAGTCAAATATTCTAGACAGCAATTCACGTCAATGTTACGTCCCTAATCGGGGTCATGAGAAAAACAATAACAAAGCTTAACCTTGGGGAATTCACCTATCGTTGCAACTTCTAGCAACGGGGATCAATTATTATGTTTCTAATTGAATTTTGCTTTTACCGTTGCATGATTGTACAGAGATGTTCGGCCTCTGATGACATGTCGGCGCCTAGTACGAACGCTTTCAACGATATCTGAGGATAAACATGAAGTGACTAGAAAGGTTGGAAATTCCGGTCCTATCAATCAGTTAACGACACAAACAAAAACAAATGAGGTATACATATTTTTCGTTATTGCATTCAACCTACTTATTAGTAGTATGGATATATACACAAAATTTATTCAGGGTTAACATAGTTCCTAACTGAGACGTATAAATTATATCTGGAAAAGAATTCTAATTGTAATAAGACTTATTTCGCTTTAATATCCACTGCGAACCATCAGTACCTACCCACTAATCGAAGCGGAGGTCCGGAAGGAACTCCAACACAAGTGCATTATGTTACGAGGAGAGCTCGTAGATGGAGCTATAACTATTGCGAATCATCAGAGGTAAGAATTCATGAACCATCAGATTTTCATTTCGGTGGCTGAATGTTCAGCGATCTAGCTTCGTGACTAGAAGATCCTAATTTTGATATCCATGGAGTTCTGCGTAAGTACTACTAGATCATACATATACCGAGACATAAAATAAAATGAAAAAAGCTGCGCAAAAAAAAAAAAGACACTGACTTACCTTCATACCAGCTTCAATATTATTTTTTAATGCAAGGAGGAAATTGTTTTCACGTTCACGCTGTAAAACAAAATGAGAATAAGATGTACATATGTGAATTATTACAAGAAATCCAAAATTTTTTATAAACCAAATGTGTATATACCTTATTGAGTCATAAAGAAAATGTCCGACTGAGTAACCTAACACTCTACACCTAACCTCAGTAGTACTACTACTCACCACAGTATACCGCCTAACACGCGAGATAGAACTGGAACTTGTGTGGTCAGAGATAGGCGGCATCTTCATATTTTCTACTCTTAATGGTCATGCCTTACAGCCATAAAGCAGGATAGTGAGAATTGCTGTTAAGTACACACTTGCTTTGATCGATAGCCGAATATCGTCAGCGCAATCAGAATCCATTAAGGCTGACACAACTTTCTAAATACGTCAAGTGGCCAACACATCCAACCAGTTGACTTATTATCCTTAAACTAGAGGTCGGTGTAGACTATTCCTGAAGTATCATCATCTTACATTTAACACGAGCGAATCACATATCAAACATTCGAAGATTTCTGCACTCAAGATGTTCGTTCAGAGGAGTCTGCTCTTAATCAGCGCGCCTTCGCTTGAAAACTATGAACGTGAATACATGTAATTTTGATAAGGTAACAGATTACACTGAATAGGCATTCGATTTATTTATTATTATTGTTATTATTATTGTTCCCTTGGGTTCCTAGTGGAACATAGGGCTTCAACTGCACGTCTCCACTTGCTTCTGTCTTCTGCTGTACTTTCCACCTGCATCCATGTTAATCCATACTGTTTCAGCTCCTCTTCACACGATCTCCTCCATGTCACCCTTGGACGTCCCACTCGCCGCTTCCCTTTCGGGTTCCACTCGACCACTGGCCTGACGCGCGATGTCACCCAACGGCCTCCTCAGCGAGTGTCCAATCCATCTCCACTCTCTCCTGCATATTTGTTGAGCGATTGGTTCTTGTTTTGTTTGTTCCCATAGTTTCTTGTTGGTGATTCTTTCCAGCCATCTGATCTTCAGTATAGAGCCACGAAGACAGTTGTTGATAAAGGTCTGCAACAGGCTGTTGGAAATATTCTTTGTGACACACTGGCCAAGTTTCTGATCCGTATAGAAGAACTGACTTGACGTTTGTATTGAAAATCCGAATTTTGTTGTTGATGCTGAGTGACGAAGATTTCCAGATTGATTTCAGGTTGATGAATGTGTTTCTCGCCTTCCCGATTCTCGATTTGACATCCTCGTCCGTTCCTCCTGTAGTTGAGACAATGCTTCCTAGATAAGTGAAAGAAGTAACCTCTTTCAAATCCCTCCCGTTGATGGTGATTGGCGCTGGATGTTGCTGCTGCTGCTGTTGTTGTTGTTGGTTGGTTATTTTCATAACCTCCGTCTTGTCTATTTTCACCTGGAGTCCTGTCTTTGCTGCTTCTTCGACCAGTTTGTCAGTTTTCGCTTGTAAGTGTTCGATTTTGTGTGACATCAAACACAAATCATCCGCGAAATCCAGGTCTCGCCTAGATTACTAGCTCGCTAGTTTTCCAGCCGGTCGCAAGCCCGGATAAAGAGGGAGGGTTGGGGCGTGGTGCTAGCAACTCCACCTCCAAAACTTAGCCAAGTTGCTACAGAAACTTTAACGCATAAATATATTTAAAAAATACGATTGATACAAAACAAAAATGGGAACAGTTGAAAAAAAAATAAAAAGATCAAACGTGTTTACCTCAATCTCTTTAGCATACTGTCTAGCTGTTCTTCTAATCCCATATGATGTTAATTGTGTTTGATATTGTAGCTTATTCTTGCTATTGACTAATTTCTCCGGTTGAATATCAGTAAGAGCAGGTGGGAAAGAGGAAGGAACAACAACACCAACTGACTTATCAGCTAGGCGAATATTCTTCTTTGGACTAACATTTGATGATTTATAATTACGTGTTTGACGTGAATTGATGCCTCTGGCATTAGGTTGACTTGAATCAACACTATGTGAACGCTTCACCTGTGATCTGTGTGTTGATATTATTGAGGAATAAAAAAGTGAAAAAAAGGAAGTTTTGGTTACAGGATTTCATTATGAGCTGAAATTGGTTAGAGAATCATTAGAAAACCATCAGGGAGTACTGCTAGACAGCTGTTTCATCCTAGTTTGGGACTTTTCATCAGTACACACCCACCAACACGGTCCGAACCCAGGGCTTTCTGGTTACAAGGTGAGCTAGTAGACAGTTCAATCACTCGGACCCAATCCAATGGCCCATGAATCCTAACTTCTGCCAATTCACGATATAGTGCGACCACCAGTCAATATTACCGACGCGTATCAGTCGTCTCACCCGATCTTCTGTGCACCATTGGGGTAACGCGTTAGATTAACCATGAATCTATTATTGTTATTAGCATAACATGATAAAAGGGTGTGGCTAACAAACCAACAACACTCAACCCTTTACGTTTCGAGTGGAAAAAACGGCTTCAAGCTTCACTTTTGAAGTAGTGTTATTGCTTTTGCGGGTCCCTAGGCTCACACCCAACATGCCCTCTTTACCAGGTTCGTTACTGGTTTGATGACCGGGAATTCAACCCCGGACCGAGTGAGTGTGGTTAGCGAACATTCATACAATGGGCTACCGACGCAATGATCCAAACACTAGTAAATTAAGCGATATAAAGATGTCACTTGTTGACTTAAGTACTCAGTTTTCACGTTATGGGGGTCTTGGGGGGGTTCGAATCCTACTCCACCTAAGCAACTGAGTTGTATCATCAGTTCTCACAAAAGATGTCTGGCTCGCAGCCTGTCATACGAAAGACCAGTTCAATCTAACTGAGTTCTAACAACAAAATGAAAAATATGGCCTTAGTGTCTCTGTCTGTCTCTGTCTGTTTTCGACATAGAACTTTGCACTGATGTGTGGCAGTTCAAGTCGCCACACTCCATGTAGCACACAAAGGAAGAGAAGAAAGTAGGAGAAATGCATATTAGAGACAGTAAACAGAGGTGTGAGACAAAGGAATATTAAAAGCGAAGAACAAAACAGTTTCATTGGAGATCATAAGTCACAAGAAGTGGATGCATCTGCGCTAGCCATTGATAACGATTTTGAGCCATGTCACCAATTGTTTCCAACCATTGGTTTTTACCCTCCCGAGGACCCCAACCAGGAAGTCTACATCTTCCTACGTGGCTTAGACTAACTGTTGTGGATTTCATTGACTGGTGTCATGTTTTGGTTTGACCACCGCTAGCTCTTTTCCAGCCTGGCCCTATATCAGCTAACATTGCCCATTGTCGAGGAAGGCGATGACTAGGCATACGTAACACATGTCCTAACCATCTCAGTCGATGTAATTTCACAGTCTCATCGATTGATTTCCCCTCCTTACCTAGCACTCGACGCCTAACCTCAATATTGCTCACCTTATTATACCACTTCACGCGGGAGATGGAACGCAGACACCTATGATCGAAGACAGCTAATCTTTTCATGTCTTCTGCTCTCAATGGCCAGGTCTCACAGCCATAAAGGAGGACGGAGCGGACTGTTGAGCAGTACACACGCCCTTTGGTCGATAGTCGGATATCGCGTCTACGCCAGAGACGGCGTAAACTGGCGTATGCGAACCTAGCCCTCTGTATTCGTGCTGAGATTTCGTCGGCGATCAACCCGTTGGGGCTGATGGTACTTCCCAAGTAATTGAAGCGGTCAACGTGCTCTACCACTTCACTTCCTATTTCTAATCTAGGGGTCGGTGAAGTCCAATCCTGCAGCATCATCTTACATTTTGCAGGGGCGAATCGCATGCCAAACATTCTTAGATTGCAGCTCAAGGTGTTCAGTAGACTCTGCATTTTGTCAGAGTCCTCGCCTAGAAGGGCTATATCCTCCGCATATTCTAAGTCGACGAGATTATTCCCTGGTAGCAAGTCAATCCCTGAGTCGCTGAAGTGTGTTAGGGTTAAGTCCATTAGTACATCTATGATGAAGTTGAATAGGAATGGGGATAATGGGCATCCTTGACGGACGCCACTAGTCGTCACCACTTCAGATGACAACTCGCCATAAGCCCTCACCTGGCTGCATGAGTACGAGTAGAGTGCCTTAATCAGTGCAATGTATTTTCTCGGCATTCCCTTTACAGCCAAGCATCGCCAGAGAACCTCCCGGTCGACAGAATCGAATGCTGCCTTTAGGTCAAGAAATATAATGATTGTCGGACGCCGGTAGGAATGCCTATGTTCTAGAATCTGTCGAAGGGTGAAGATATGATCAATGCACCCTCTACCTGGCCTAAAACCTGCCTGGTTTTCTCGTGTTTGTGTCTCCCGAGCTGGCCTTAGTGTACTTGTAGATAGTGTTCTGTACAACCTGTCGACCTTTTTAACCCCCACTCTTTAGAGTGTGGAGAGACACCATAGGTGGCTGGCATGCTGGTCATCTGAGGGAAACACCTTACTTCTGTTACATCCTCGTTCCCCAGTAGTACGACTTCGCCTACAGACAGACCCCCACTATAGTGTAAAAAAGGAAATCTTACACTATACCGGTAACTGCTTTTAGTCTAGTCGCTATCCTAACAATCTTCCTGGTATGGTACGACCTGCAGGAACATTAGTTCCAACCAGTGTAGCAAGCCCGACCACCAACCAAGTCAAGATAGCAGCTATCGGTTGGATAAGAAAACTGGAAAATTCGAAGAGATCTCTCAAAAGCCAATCAATTTCGAAGGAATTTTAGGGCTTGTTACAATACACTCTATGAGATATGCTTATGGTGTTCTTGTTGCCTGTGGTTACCGCACTTAACCACTTCAATTCCTATCTTTAAACTATGAGTCAATTCGTGCAAGTATCATCTTACATTTCATAGGGGTGAAATGCATGCCAAACACCGCAAGACTTCTTCTTCTCGAGGTATTCAGAAGACTCCACATCTTCACCCAAAAGCAAATTATCATCGACAAGACTGTCTCTCGGTTTCTAATCACTGCCTAAGTCATTAAAGTTCATTAGGCTTTAAGAGGCTGACGGTATTGACTTTCACGGATAGTACGAAGTATACTAACGCAAGATCTAATACCAACAACTTCTATAGTATTCGTTCCGCGTATACCAAAAGCAAAGCAAAACACGATATTTGATCGTCCAAATTACGAGACATATTTCGGGACCAAATCAGAGTGCTGGCTAGGGATCGTGCACGAACGTGACACGACGGAGTACCGAATGGCGTGACTGCTTGACCGGAAGCCTTCAGCTAAACAAGTCGACTTAAACAGTGAGGGTCAGCATCCAATGTTCAACGATGAGTGCTGTGGTCAATAATTTTGGGAAATTATTTACCGCTACAAGCTAATATCCATTAGTACATCTATAGTGAATTTGAACAAAAAGTGAGCGTGCCTGTCGGACACCGTTGGTTGCTATTACTTCAGAAAACTCAGCCGCTCAGGCAGAAGGCTACAAGCCACAGGATAATGAGGTAGACAGAAACAGATTCGTACTAAAGACCCCCCCCCATAAATCCACCAGACTATCTGAATTTATAAAATAATGACACTTCAGAAAAAAGGATGAAAATTACAAAAAAGATGAAACACCAGAGACTCACTTTTTTGTAGCTCCAGTACCAGCCTTTTTCTTTCTGCTCGGCTTCTTAAAGGCATCTTCTGTCAATGGACTTACAGCACCAGTTAGGGTAGTTTGTTTCAGGGTACGAGGACTAGATAAAGTGGTAGTCTGTAGATTTGTTGAATTCAATTCAAAATTGACTGGTTCTTGTTTAATAGGTGTTTTAGCGATAATATCATTAAGAGATGTTAAGTTGTCTGCATGTTCTAATATCAGAGAAGTTAACAGGCCACCATCTTTAATTCTTTTGGATATTTTTACTTCACTAGGTGAAAAATTTAATTGAGTTTGTCGTAAACTAGGTGATAAATTGTTGCTGAGTGAATGAGCAGTATATTGGGTTTCAGTATACGTTTCTATGGATAAATTTTCCCATTTTAATGAATCTGGATGGGAAGTAACTTCAATTGAAGTCATAACTACTCTAAAAGAAATCAATAGAACTAAGATTATCTTATGTTTATGTAAAAGAAAACAGGGGAAAAGAAAAATTAGATTATGTGTTTTGTAAGGATTAGGAATAATTTCAGTGGAGATTACATTAACAGTTAGAGAATCCCTTAAAGTAGCCACCAAGGATTCATCTAAAGACCCTTTAGTTATGAAACCAGCTTGTTGACTATTCAGAAAATTTTCAAAAGAATGGATACTGAACAAAGAGTACTCTTTTCGATAACTTCATCATCAGGCTCTACAGTTATATATAAATACATAATAGTGAATGAATGAATTAGTGTTATGAACAACATTAATGTTGTTTAAATAACATCGAATCAATAATATTGATAGATTACAGCTCAATAGCATCAACATAACAATAAACTGAATGTCAGAAAAATTAGGAAAGATAATATTACAAATTCATGAATTTATAGTCTCTACTGAAGGCCGGCCAGGGCAGTAGTAGTGGCTGGACTTGCTTCTTTTGAACACAGAGCACTGGTTGTTTGAGGTGAATTGCAATAGCCTCTGCTGTTTGGAGCATGCGGTGCTTCGATGATTTTGGTAATTTATTAGGCACCCGGTAGATGATAGACAAGGATTCTTCAATGCTGGCTGGCTTTGTAGCCGGTTTGCACCAGATGGTCCAATATCGAACTGTTAATGGTTTTCACTACACCTTTACTTAGCTATAGTGGGAGATGTTCTCGAGCGAGCACGAAAAATCAAGTTCCTAGAGCGACGGCCAATATAACTCGCTCCACAAGCGCAGTTGAATTGGTAGATACAATTTGAAGTGGCTAGTCTAGGTACTTCATCTTTCACTCGAGGTAGCACCATCAGTCGTGTAGAGAATAATATGTGTAGTTCGCCAGCATTAAAAGTTCTTTGAACTGATTTTCTTAATTTCTTCGTAATTATCTCACTTGGTATATCGCCCTTCAGAAAATGTTTATAACGAGGAGTTGGATAACAAAGAAAGACTTTTATCATAAATAAAAGTTTGAAAACTTCGCATCACTTTTACTGTTATCCATCTCTTTGATGAAATGATGCCCAACTCAAAAATCCCGTGAACATTCAAGCATTTGAAAGCTAGTCATATCCGTGATCTGACTATACCGTCTAACTGTTACCCTTTCTGGGTGGGTATAAAGAGATTTGAACAAATTGTAGACTATCAATAGCTACACCTTCATTGGCTTAATAGTGATCAGGTAACCAGAAAGGATAAGCAAGAAGGAACCATGCAATGAACCAACCGAGAACCTGTCGCCCAAAAAATATGCCAAAGGAAAAAGATTGAGCATACTCTTAGGAGATCATTGATTGACATCATGCGCTAGTCTGCTCTCGAATGGGAAACGACATGTTTGGCATGGGTCGGAGGGCGATATGGAGAAGCTTATGGGCAATAATCGTGGCACCAGGTAAAAGAGACTGTTGAAGACGAAGTGAAATGGAAGTGTTTTGACGAAACCCTCTGTTCCACTCGGAACTCAAGAGAGTAATAATAAAGGTAGACAATTATCATTACATTTAAAATTGATTTTTTCCTAAATGTCCCCAAAAAATACAAGAAAAGTTACAAGTAACAATTAAAGGTGTGAAGTTTCACGATTCAACTCGACCACTCTAACTAAAGTAAGTAGGATTTGGGAAATGGTTAATTCGAGTTTTACTTGCACTAGCATATGAAAATCACACATTTAGACAGTGGGAAGAACACGAAGACAGCCGGCATGTGGCTCGAACCCATAACCCTGGGATTAACAGCCACAAGACGTGGAGATGTGGCTCATTCGCTTAAGGGCTCAACTTTCGGCCAAAAAGGTCTCAGGTTCGAAGCATATTCCCCCTACCTCAGCCTGAGCAATTGGATAGTATCATAAGCTCCTTACACACAAATATGGCTTATAGTCTGAAAGATATGTCCCGAGAACAAAGTCAAAAACAATTTGAAAAGTGGTGGGGGGTGTGTACTAGCAGCCAAGTCTTTATTCATATAAGATACACACACTATCCCTTAACGTTTTAAAAAACAACAGAAATGCTAGGATTATCAAACAAGACTTGGTGATGTAATACGTTAGGACAGAAGGGAGGATTCAAATATCAGCGGAAAGTAACTTGCCTATTAAGGCCAACACTCAAAACTTTGTTGTATGCTGCATATGTTTGTGAGAATATATGCATGCCTGACATAGGACCGATCAGGTTGGAGAAGAGCCAGTGGTAGTCAAACCAAAACATGGCTTCATCAGTCAATGAAATCCACAACAGTTAGTTTGAGCAACGTAGGGGGATGTAAACTTCTTGGTTGGGGTCCTCGGGATGGTAAAAAACAAATGGTTGGAGACAATTGGTGATATGGTTGAAAGTCGTTCTCAATGGCGCAGGTGCATTCACTCTTCGCGATTTGTCATATCGAACAAAACTATACTGTTCTTCCCTCACACTTCTGTTTATTTGTCTTTTGAACCTCCCTTTACTCTCTTCTTCTTTGTGTGTTACAAGGGGGGGATGAGAGTGACAACTCGAACTGCTGCACATCTGTGCAAGGTTCTATGTTGAAACCAGTCAGTTTGGTATAAGGTGGATGTTAGCCAGTCTGAAGTTGAAGTTTATAGAGTTTTGTCTGTACAGGAAACTACTTTCAGCTAAGAACCAACGTAGCATAAGCTGGGATACATAGTTTTTGGGGCCTGCAACTCTACAGGCTTTACTATATAACGGTATGAACAAAAATTCACTATCTACTGAAACAAGTGACATTTATGAGACTGAACCTTCAACAGTAGTTAACACTGGTGGTACTTTCAGTTGAAAATAACGCGCTGAGTCAATTTCACGACATCCAAACCGTCATAAACTCCTACTCAGAAGAACAGTGAGTATTCCTGGTGTTTCTGAGTTATGTAAATATGTGAGTAGATATGTAATATGTAGTAAGACTTTTGGAAAAGTGTATACAAAGAAACAATAAAAGTTCTTACAACTCAATAAGACAAGGAGTGATTTGTATCACGAAAACACCCAGAAATTCGGTCTATCCAAAAGGGAAGACTACGATTCAAATACCCAAAGCATTCACATTTTACCAATAACCTTTATAACTGACTGACACTTTAAAGTAGAACTATGCGAGGAAATGCAGCAATTCAAGTCGCCATACTTTGCAACAGTCCACAAAAAGTAGACAACGGAACTATGACGTAAACTAACGAAAATATGTGGGACTAGGAACAAGACTACAAACAGAATAATGGAGATTTAATGCATCAAGGAGTGAATGCACCTGAATTATGGAAAACGACTTCGAGGCATATTACAAACAGCCTTTAGCTACTGGTTCCTGGCACTTCTAGGACCACAGCCAGATTGTCTACACCTCACTATGTGACTCAAACCAACAGCCGGAGACTTCATGGATTGATGCCACGTTTTGGTCTGATGTCCGTAATTGTTTTCCAACTCAAAACTTAGGTGCACCTACCTATCCAGGGTTTATGAAGAGGTTTCACTTATAATGGCCAAAGCATATTAGCCCTAATACTCACACGATGCTTACCGGTGTCTGGCTCCTCCAAATTATAACTTTGCATAAAGAATCTCACGATTTTAACAGTTATTAATAGGGTTTGATGACTTATCAACTGTGATTAGTGTTTGCCATTAACCCAACCTACGGTGTTAGATACTTTTTCGCCGCTGTGATGGATGCTTCCCAATTAGTAACCACATTCTGAAACTGCTTGTATGTCATTGCCTTACTGAACGATCTTGCATCCCCGCTAGCTGTCTGAAGGGACGGTAGTTTCTCGCTACACATGATGGAATTCCCAGCAGGTACTAATGCCACGCACGAAAGCCTTTTGTTCACTAGTATCCTAAATACTAACCAAACCGAAGCAACATATAGGTATCTTGGCTTGGTAAACTTTGTGTCGGCTATATATGTTAAGCTAACATAAGACTAGTTGAACTATTACATAGTGCGAAAATCCCTACATCGGAATGTAACTACTTGAATACAGGACATAAAACAAAACTGGGAATGAGTGATTTAGCAAACAAAAACACATGAACGAAGATTAAGGATTGCGAAAAATGCTGACAAATAAACGCATAACGGTAATAATACTATTCAGAGTGATTAGTACAAAGATGGCAAAGTTTTTGCTGTAAATGTTACTTCATAAAGTAACCTTAACTGAAAAAGGTGTCTAGGATTTATCGCAGGTAAATAAACTAACACATAACTGTTTCAATGCTCCAACTAAACAAATCCTAAAAAATTCAATAATAACAAACAACCAATAGACCTAAAGAGCAATCAGACCAACCGACCTTGAGCAAGTTCAAGTCAAAATAACTACGACCTTGTCGCTTAAACATGTGATTCGATAAAACAAATTTATGACTATATTTCCCGCAGAAAATGTTGAATATAAATCAAAAAACATTACAATTCTTTCTTCATACTTGATTTCTGACTTAACTGTAAACAGCTACTGTTTGCACGAAGACAAACATTTGGACTACTAATGCACCATGTTTTGTGAAAAAGAAATAGCTCGTGATTTACGAAATTTTCAAAAGTCATGTAAAGAAAAGAGACAACTTGTGATAGAAACCTACTTAAATGAGGAAAAAGTAACAGTTCTCTTTGGTTTTTATACTGATTCTAGAACCTGAATGAAGAATACTCTAATAATTATAAATTACTGCTTAAATCCCATAAAAAGCAGCTAAAAGATCTTCATGTCAAAGTTGAAGAACGTAAGAAAAATCTAAGGAGGAAGCTGGAAAATGAACTGGTGAGTCCCACGTGTTAATTATCTTTCGTTTACCAATACCTTAAATGCTGAATTCTTTTTAAGAAAATTTCGAGGTCATTTATTTTTCAAGGCTTTTTTCTCAGTTAATCTAGTTTTTTTGTGTCCCCTTTACAAATTATGTGTTATGCATGAGGAGATGTCGATATGGGTTTTCATAGTATTCTCAGATGCACAGGGAAATTTTTTTAATCATTAAACTTTGCTGTGATATGCAATTTTTTATCAATATGAGCAAGTCAGGGATCTTTATACAAATTATGGTGGCTAAAAATTGCCTAAAATACTCTTAAGATTAATGTCTAGAGGATAGTTTTTCACTGATTTGTATATATAGTTTCCTCTAGAATAAAGTAATGGAAGTATTAGTTCTGGTGAACCATTTGACTGCCAGATTAATCACAAAAAGTCAGGTATTGTAACACGCCATTACATAACATGTTCCATATGTTCTGAGTTAATATATTTTATATGTCATGCTGTACAATCATTTATTTTCATTTGAAATGGACATTATCGTAAGATAATAATATGCACAAATAACTAGTTAATTAGTAAACTATCTAACTTGTAATTACTGATAACCAAACAGGGATGAAAAAGGCTCAGTTATTTAGAAATATTCCTTGAAGAACAATACATTCAAATAGAATAAATTTTAAGATTATTTAAGGTAAAAATGTTTGGAACTCCTCTGGCTAATGTGACTAAATTACGGACTGTGAGAATGTTCATATTTCCGGTAGAAATAGAAAAGCTCCAAAATGACATATCAGGCTTGTCGAATGTGTACTCTTTAAAACAACTCTTAAAAAACCTAAAACATTTACAAGAGGGGTAGAAATTTATTAAGTTAATATTCAATTAATTCAGTTTAATCAATTTATTTTAGACTAAAGTGTAGTTTGATGAAATGGAAGATGCATGATATTACGAACTTTGTAGCTTTAACTTAATAATGATAATAATCATCTTATTCCAAACAATGATATTTTATACAAAATGGAATTGTGAGTGTTGTACATATTGTGACAATTTTTCTCCTTTGACAAATAAATAAATAAAATCGTAAAATTGAAAAATCCACAAAAACTGAAAGTTCATAGAAGAAAAATCTACTGAATAATAATTACTGCTTTCAGAATTCCATAATGGGTAAATTTTATTTTGATAGAGTCTCACAGTGTTATACAGTAATATTTACTGATGACGTTTCGAGCACAATTTATTGCTCATAATCATATCAAGTTCAACTTCAAATTGTGCTCGAAACGTCATCAGTAAATATTACTGTATAACACTGTGAGACTTTATCAAAATAAAATTTACCCATAATGGAATTACACTCTACCACAGTGCCCAAGTTTTATTCTTATATCAATACTTTCAGAATCAATTGTGTCCTTTAAGATGGTTAATGGTTTAATTGAGAATCTTTCGTCTTCCTTCTAGACAACATCTTCAGTGTCAGTCTTTCCATATTAAAACCTACTCTGAAGATGTTGTCTAGAAGGACGACGAAAGATTCCCAAATAAACCGTTAAGATCATCCATCTGAGCTACGAATCTTTTTCATTATTTTAGTAATTATTCTGTTATAATTTTGTGTTTATTTACTGACTTAAATAGTTTATAAGTTCTCTGCTAAAATCTCGCGTTAAATTTGGTATGGTTGAATTCTTATATGTAGTAGCCATACGAGCTAAAATCCTTATGAAATTTCGTCTGATTCCACCCGAAGGGATACAACGAGGAAGTTGAGAATAATAAAGAGGATGCTCAATGTCAGATAAGATGAGTTCAGCGGATTACTTACGCGAATTAAAGTGCCTGTCAACAACAAAAGCAGTTAGTTGGGTTAAAGGCATTCTACTGATCCTGCTTACAGTCTTCAATGTCCTGCGTAATATAATATAATCTCTTCTGAGAAGTCCAAAGAGAAATTAGGAGGAACAGTAGAGAAGAATGGGTAGAATACACGAATTAATAAAATACAAGACACGAGGTCAAGTAATGCCAGAAATTGTCAACTCCTTTGAGTAATAAATCAAACGAACGACTTGCTGAGAAATCAACAAGGTATGTGACGACCAACAAGGACACGAAGAGACAGACAATATTCGATTTTGACAAAGAAAGAAAGACCAAACTAGCAATATTAAATGACGTCACCGCTCTATTTCACAGGTTCCCATCGGCTGTAAACTACCTGGAATTACAGTGATTATAAAAAATAACAGTAACATACTTAATTGCTTGAATGGTAGTAGAGAAAATGCTATGAAAGTTAATGCAGCTGAAATGTAAGCACTACAAGTTTTGGTTTATATTACCATCAATTTATATTCTTTCAAAGTAGAAAAGGGGGCAGCATTTAGAAAAAAGGAAAGTTTGATAAACAGTGTTTGCTTATAAGTTCACTTAGCAACTCAAGAAGGCTGTAGTTGCCCAGTGAGTTGAAATCACTAAAATGGATGACTAATCATTTACCAAGAGAGTGAGAGGTTGATCACACTGTTTTTCTATATTCTCAAGTTTGGCTTGAAATGTTTGATTACAACTCTTTCAGCTAATCATAGTAAATTTGCTATCCTTTGTATGTTTAATATTTTGAAGGATTTGGAAATTTCAAGGATGTTTGGTGGTTGCACTTTTTGAGTATATGCTTCCTTTTAGGTATAGGTTTGCTGGAATATGCTCAGAAAACCAGATAGAAGTCCTTTCTATCCTTCCAATGTACTTGCTACGACAAATGTATGTGAATTTATCAACACTATTTGAACACTATTGACTAGATTTTCCTATTTCCTGTCATCGTCTTCTCTCCCATTTATCCTTTTCTACTTTGAAGGCGCATAAATTGATCGTACCTTAAAATAAAGTCAATTTTAGTGCTCACATTTGGGCCGCATTAATTTTTCACAGCATTTTTTTTACTACTACTCAAACATTGAAGTATGTTATTTTCATTCTTTTCATAACCACTGAAATTCCATCAGGTAGTCCCCAGATGATGAGAACCTGTGAAATAGAGTGGTGACGTCATTACATACTACCAGTTTGGTCTTTTTTGCTTTACCAAAATTTATCAAGGGGACCAAATGTGTATATATTAAAATTCCCTCAGTTACGACTACTCGTATTACAAATATTTAGACCCTTAACGCATGCTCAAACCAAGTTTAGATTTATTGATTTGACAAAATCGAAACATCAGGTGGATCATGATAGTCACTACAGAAAGAAATTATATTTCCCAGTGAATGAGAAAGCAGATGCCACCAATATAAGCTACCAATAATCATAATCTACTTTCTTCCAAAACAGTATTAATAGTACAGAATGGAATTCTCAGCATTTGTCACAGTATTCTATCTAATTTACTCAAAAAATAAGTAAAATTAACCACAGGAATTTGTCCACATTCACCGTAGGATTAGAGTCAAAAATGTGTAAAGTACAAAATGGAAATAATAATTATAACAATAATAACAGTGGGTTTGTTCGACACAGTTTGGAAATTTTAACATGTTATAGATTATTGAATCTAATGTTCTGTTGATATAGCATGGTGAAGGAAAAAACAAAAAATAACAGTTATTACACAACTTAAATGATGTTTACACTTATGAGAAAATAAACGAACAAAAAAGTGAGAGGATAATAAATCTAAGAAGAATAATAACAGTAAAGCTTGGTGGTATAAGGATGGAGAAAATGGTTTATTTACTGGTGCAAAGAAGGTTAGTTAGTTCGTGCCTAACACTATTTTCATCACATAAAATACGTGCCAAATACGGTACTGTGGAATTATTTCTATACTTAGACGTGCGCGCATAAAGTCTTCTGAAATGACTTCCTGTTTTACCTGAGTTAAAGCAGGGTGAAATCTGTGGGTATAGTGGATGCTCACAGTCTGATAAATCCCCTTAGCAAATTTGTTGCATGAAATCAAGTGCCTATCAGTGACGATGCCAACGATATGGCCCAATGGGTTACCACTCGCCCTACTAACACTCTTCAGATCCCTACGAAGTATGACATAGTCTTTTGTAAGCAATCCAAGAAGGAATAAAGGTGAACAGTAAAGAAGAATAGGTAAGATGCAAGAGTTGACAAACTGTGAGAGGAGAAATTGAGTTATGCCCAAGTGCCTTAACTTCTTAGTGTAAAAAGTCAGACGAAATATTCTTTTAGAAATCTCTAAGGCGTGGGAAGACCAGGATAGATCAGAAGAAAGAATTAGTCCAAGATACTTAACGTCAGACTTGATTTCTATATCAATATCATCAATTTTACAATGATCATAGGAATTAACAGCTTCATTTAACTTCCCTTTACATCGGAAACTGAGATTAACAGTCTGACATTGGGAAGAATTTAGTCTAAGGCTATTAGACAAAGAGCATTTGCTGACTCCTGATAAAAAGTTGTTCATCTTAGCTTAGTTTAGCTGGGAGTTAACTGACATTGAAATAGTTAGATCGTCCGCATACTTAACGAAGTTCATTTCATCAGAGTGAGGCGAGACATGCGAGAAGGAAGAAAACAGAAAACGTGAAAGAATATCGCATTGAGGGATGCCAGCCTCAGTAAGCGATAAAGTGGACGACTTTCCCTCAAAAACAATGCACTGCTTTCTTCCTGAGAAATTAAGAATGCAGCCATTTGACAGCCCAAACGGCTACATTAGAGTAGTAATTATTATTATGCCCTTTGGTACCAAGTGGAGCAAAGGGCTTTAACAGGACATCTCTATTTTTCCCTGTTCTTTGCGGTCCTCTTTAGGTGGTCTCAAAACTGACCATAAGCTTTCATCTCATCATATGATTTGCTCTACATCACCCTTGGTCGTTTACCATTCGTCTTCCACTCGAGCGATTATCTACCTTACCACGTCACTCACCTGTCTCCTCAATGTGTGTCCAATTGATCTACATTTCCTTCGGAATATCCCTCAAGCAATAGGTTCCTGAACGTTT